CTCCATTCTTTAGTTCGACCAGTTGATACATTTATAACGAGGATACATCATCTTATATCTACGGAGCCGAATCACCCTCATTTCCCCCGCATTCCAGATGTAAAAGGAAAGTTACACTTTTCTATGTAGTTTACTTTGTGAACCTTTAGTATAATGAATGCTTGTGATTTAGGAAGTAGTTTATATCAGATTGTCACACATGAAATAACGCATTTTTTGGTTGGTTGTTGATCCGGTTTTCTAACGAAGTAGTAACCTGTTTAGTATATAAAGTATCTTGACTTTTTCTTGATTATTTTTCTTTTCAGATAATTTTTCTTTCAATATATTGCTACGCATAAGCCTAATGAAAATCATTACAATGAAACAATGTTGAGTAATCTTACTGTACAAACTGGGAAAAAAGAACCATTTTTGCATCAAATCATTACATACGATGAGAAATGGATACACTTTGACAACAGTAAGAGAGTAGGCCAGTGGTTAGATGCAAGTGAATCACCAAAAACAATACCCAAAACATTTACTGCACCTTATAATAACCGTTAACTTTTTACTTTTTTTTTTTTTTTTTTTTTACAATGGTTATTGTATGGTGGTCTTTCAAATGGGGTTTTTCATTATTCATTCTTGCCACAATGGAAATCAAAAAAAGCAATTGTGGAGAAATTGAGTGTACGCAGGAAAAATTGAAAAAGAAACACCGTGAATAGGGATGGCCCAATTTTGATGCACGGCAACACACGGTCTCACACTTCTCAATCAACTGCCCAAAAGCTGCATAGCCTGAATTATGAAAGTTTTCCTCATCCTCCATATTCACCTGATATCTCTGATTATCACTTATTTGAGCATTTTGAGCTTTTCATACGCAATAAAAATTATCCCACGAGGAAGAGGTAATCGAAGCATTTGTATAGTTTATCATATCAAATGATGAGATTTTTTTAAAGATGGGATCAAGAATTTAGATGGACGTTGGAGAACAATTATACATCAAGATGGTGCCTATTTCAACTAAATAAATTAGTTATTTAACATTTCAGAAGCGTTTTATTCATTTCCTATAATGTGCGTCATTTCATGTGTGACAATCTAATATATTAGTTATTTAATATTTCAAAAGCGTTTTGTTCATTTCCTATGAAGAGCGTCATTTCATGTGGGACAGCCTAATATAACCATTTAGCGTATTTGTGGGATATCTTTGGATTCGAGGTTAATTCCGTGTTCTGTTGGTTGAGTATTTTTCCTACACGTTTTAGTCATGATGGTTTTCTAAAGTAACTTGTATTATTGGGATTTTAGCTTGTATATGTTTCTAGTTTTATCGGTTAGGAGAAAGACGGGTAAATAAGTTTTTAAAATTTTGTTTATGTTCTCTTTTAGTTTTCTTATGAATTCATCTCCGTTGTAGTGAAATGTCCTCTATCTGATAATGACCGTTATTATCTTCTTAAAATCTGTTGTATTTTGGCGGACATGTTTTAATTTGGATTGGTAGATTTATATTTGACTGGAACTTATGTTATATTCCTAATTTAAGAAAAACGTGTTTTCCATATCATTCTTTTTGCTTGACGTTTTTTCTATTAATTTTAATCTATATAATGCTTGTAAATCATTATACTATTCATTTATATATTTAATTTATTTTGTATATATTTTTGCTCTAAATTTTGGTATTTTAAATACTAAAATGTCGAACAAAAACATAAATAATCATAAAAAGACGAAAGTATTAACCCTAAATGAAAAAAATAGCTTGGAATGGCCGATTTCCGTTTTACACTACAATTCTTAATCCCCCAGTAGCCTATATATAGAGTCGGGAAAAAATATAAGCACTTTGAAGATTGCGCGAAACTAACAGTGATCATGAAGGCTTGCATTTTATATTCACACTATATATATATATATATATATATATATATATATATATATATATATATAAATGCTCTATCTTTGATATTAAGCACAGAGTAGATATGACGGGTAAGGAATATCCTTTGATCTTTTTTTATTTAACAAAAAAACTTACAAGGTATTCCTTTTCCGTAATACTTAACGAAACATGAATCAAAGAAGGATTGCTGCTTACGTCCATACAAACAACCACACACACACACACACACACACACACACACACACACACATATATATAACAGTGCGGACATACAAATCAACACTATGATGATTAGCAGTTTCATGTTTTATGTAATCATCAGATTATATAATATATATCATAAGATAGAGCTTTCATATTTCAACCAACCACATCTCTGACTTTCATACTTTCGGATTTGTCTGCCGATTAAATATATATCATGTATATATATATATATATATATATATATATATATATATATATATATATATATATACATACATACATACATATATATATATATATATATATATATATATATATATATATATATATATATATATATATATGGTTGCTCAACTCTCCTTAGGGCATAGGATTTTTATTAGCTAATGTTAGTTTGGTTTGGTTGGGTTTCTTTTGTTTTACGGCATATCAACCTCAATGTTTTTTTTTTAAATGCCGACAAGATTTTTTTTGCTGGTAATATTTTTTCTTCAAAAATCTATTGCTGGTAATATTTTTTTCAAAAAATATATTGCTGGTAATAAATTTTTTACAAAATTATTTCTGATATTAAAACCTATTTTTACACTTTCATAGTGTTTTAACTCCAGTTTAGGGGTTAACTATTTATCCATAGCTTGGACAGGTGCTACCACCCAGGGTAAGTGTGGATCTGGGAACACCAGTAAGTGAGAGGTGGTTCCATGCTCCTCAAAACCTCCTGATCAGAGGCTTAGTTAGCGTTAGTAACTACACGGTTAGTTTAAGTTATTAACAAATGTTAATCTCAAATGTGTTCGTCATCGCACCCTAACTATGTGTTCAGATGGCACATTAAAGATAAACATGCAATAAGGTGCCTGGTCATGGCATTAAAACAATACAGAAAGTGTTAGCTGGGAAATGGAGATGAGCCCGGGAGCTCCGTTGTTTGACAGATGCCCAGAAATGAAATTGTGACCAACATGTAGAATTCGTTCTGATGAATTTGAGATGTGGAGAAAAATGACCCCCCACCAAAAAAAAAAAAAAAAAAAAAACAGACAGCGGAAAAATGTGAGACACGAATAAATTACGAGCAAACTAGAAGTATTTAAAATGAGATTGAGATAAATAGGGCTATATTTTATAAGACGCTATCGTGATTCTGGGTTCATTTTCTTAACACCGGCTAGTCGCTAAACAACCACCTATATTGATAAGCGATATCATGATACAGAATACCATCCTAATGACCATTCGAGCGTGATGGTTGGCGCGATAACCTCATGAATGCCCATGCTAACTCAACCGAATTTATGAAACGCTAGTTGAAAAAAATGATTACATTAGCGAATAGATACTTCCCTCCACCAGTCGGTGTTCTCTCAAGTTGTTGGAAGCAGTTGTTTTGGGCCGGAATCAGCGTATTTTTGAAATCCAAATCTGTTCCGAAATATATAAAACCCCAAAATTCGATTGAGTTAATCGAATTTCCCCTTTTCTGGAATTGCTCACGAGCAGAAAGAAAAAATAAATTACCCCCTTTTTTTTGTTTCATCTTTTTCAAATTTCAAAGAAGTTATCATACACGTCTATTTAATAAATGTTCGAACCCTTCTCGAATTCTTTGACCATGTAAATGGAACTCCGCTTGATTAGTTAGAGATATATACGTAATCAAGTTGACTGCAAATGCTTCTGCCTAGGTCTGAAGCGCCGGCAGTTTTTATGAAAACCAACAGTAAAATCAAGATGTGAATACTTTAGAGTACCCGCCCAAAATCCAAATAGGAAAAAAAAAAAGAAGAAATATTTAACTAAATAAAAACTTTCGGGATCAAGTGCCGCTCAACCGGAAAGTAGGAAATTTCGGTCGTGAGTTATAGGCAGATAACGCTCTAGATAACAGTGAGAGCTTACAGTGAGCAGAAAGTCGCATCGATATAGCAGTTGCTTTTCGTAAGTACGAGGTGACAGGGATAGTGTTAGTTTCGTAGCGGCTCAGATTGAGGAATCGGAGAGCCGAGTTCGAATTACTGTCGAATCCATTACATTCACTTACGAGCTAATACCTTTGAGAAAGTTATGAATCCTCTTCTTCTCCCTCCCTCAGCTATCGGTAAATAGCAGGATAGACCGGGTTATATAGCCTTGAATGGCAACTGGTCTACAGCAGAAAGAAATGGCAACCTACTGCGGGAAAAAAAATCTGCCACGTCAGTCGTGTATTGAAAGATACATAATCGCCTGTATCACGCATGACACACAACTAACTGTATGCTGAAAACAGGATTCGTTTTATTTTTATGCTATTTCGCGTTATTTCAAGTTCCCTTTACTTTGTTAAACTTACAGGAGTGTTTGCTCAGTTTTTGTGCGCACCAACGTAAACGGGTATTGAGCACATCGTCGGTGAAAAACTGACCGAGTGCCGCGTTTGTATGTCCAAAACAAAACCAGTCTCGTCGATGGAACATGTGCCGTGACATCTTCCTTGGATAAACACGGTCAAAGAATTCGAGAAAGGTTCGAGCATTTATTAAATATACGTTTATGATATGTTCTTTGAAATTTGAAAAGATGAAAATATATATATATATATATATATATATATATATATATATATAAAGGTTATTTTCCTTTGCTCTTTTCGTTCTCCTCTTCCGTTTTTATCTTCTATCTTTAATTTTCCCTGGTTTACCAATTCGCGTTAGATTTAAAAAAGAAAAAAAAAAAAAAATCTTTGGTCGCAATTCTTCCTTGTCTCTCGCCTTGCATTCCTCCTACATTTCGGTACCAGCGCACAATTTTTGCCTTTCTTTTCGCGTCGGGTCGACAACATAGTGACCAAAGAGATCACAACAAACAAATTGTAACCAGAGACGAGAGACTTCACGTCTGGAAGCCAGTGCTGAACTGTACACGCCCATCCTGGTCGCTGCCGCCAAAGACGACGACGATGACGACGACGACGGCATTGACGGGAATAGCAGAATTACCTCCCCTGACAACCTACTAAACAAGACCGCATTTCCTCTTTCAAAATTCGCCTCTTTCCCATCCACATTCTCTTTGTCTCTCTTCTCGCCTTGCCATATTTCGCCCATCCCTTTTCATTCGTTAGTGCTCACGAACTTGCAAATTTGCTGCATGTCTTCAAAAAGTTGCTGCAGGCTAAAAATTAAAATTCAAGTTTAATTTGAGAAAATAAATGTTTGTTTTTGCACGACTCAATGGAAATGCAGTTATAATGCTTTAAAATGCAGTTATATATGCTTTAAATTTCAGACATTTTCCGTTTTTAGGCAGAACAATCTGAAAGCAAGAAGAACATTATTTTAATCGAGTAAACAGCAAGCAAGGCAGCAAAGTCATTAAGACACAAGGGTGTTACTGAGCGTGGAAGAATTAGAAAACAGAAACACAATTAAGGAATGAGAACAAAAGAAAAGTTATTAGGACAGCAGATAGCGATTTATATTGCGTTTAAATTTTTGACGAATTAAAGTTGTGTTATATACCGTACCTATGAACACTAATAGGTATGTCACAATCCTCATAAATACGTTGTAAATTGAGGTAATATGCTGTCTAAGTAGTCCACCACTAGCAGTGGTATACCTACTTTACGCCGCTGGCGAGTATTGTACTTTGTTGATGTTATAAAGATTACCATTTCATTTCCAACCTCCGTTTTGGATATTCCTCACTCAGTAACCTTTCCTAGGTTACGAACATTTCCCTGGGAAGTAAGGTGTTGGAAGAGAGTTCCACAAGCGAGAAGTGGGAGAAAAGAAACTATTAGAATAGAACTATTAGAATAGAACTATTAGATTTAGCAATTACGACATTAAAATGTTTAGATAAAGCTGCTAATCTAGCAATACGCTTACATTCGTGAAGTCGAGCTGCTGAAAAGGAAAGCTTATCAGAACAATTACCATGAAAATATTTAGAAAAAAAAAAGAAAGAAAGAAAGAAGAAAGCGATAGTGAGAGTGAAATTAATTTAAAGAAATATCGTCTCTTCAAGTCACGGGTCCCGTTGGCCATTAGCACCATAGCAACAGTGGTGTGTTTTGGGCAATATAGTGTAACGGAGTTCATCCTCCTTCTGACTGGCTTTGAATTCAGTGTTTTCTTTCTTCGTTACCACATCAATGTAAGAGAGCACATAACCCCGAGGGGATGAATGCATGACTTTCTCAAGAGTGTTTGTGTAAAAGTAAACGTAACAAACGCAGCCGGAATTCGAACTTGGCTCATCGATTACTTATATCATACAACTGACAGATATTTGTATCTGGCAAAAGATTTTACTAGTTGCTTTAGATATCTCGAAGTCATTTGACAGGATTTTGTTCTTTTTCACAAGTTGAAAGGTTATGGTATTTCTGAATGAAGTGTCGGTGTCTCGGTATCTATGCTGATGATACAACTATTTACTCCTGTCAGTAGTAAGTTTGATCAGTCCTATAATATCAGATTGGCAGCTGCTTTCAAAAACAACGTCCAATCTGTTGTTAAATGGGGCAAATAGTGGCTTGCTAATTTTAACGTCACAAATACGAAACCGCTCTCTTCATCTGAGAGAACATTTTTAAACTTCCATCAGCATGGCTGATGTTAAACTCTAGGGGAGTGACTTATTGTACCTTCTTGGAATAACGTTTTCGGTTGACATGAAGTAGAAAGATTATATTGAATCAGTATCAATTTATGAACACGGCCAAATGAAATGCCCGTATTTAGAAATTAAGAATATATCTACTTTTTTATATAATCCACAATAGCACATTTCTTATAGATGTATAACAAAAAATAATCCTTGAAAATGCTCAATAGTGGCTAATGACTAATAGCGTAAAGCTCTCAGAACCAACAAACTTTGGAACATTTTTACAATCATTAAATTCAGAACATAAGACACTTCTACGCACACACACACACATACAAAAATATAATTAAAAACTAAACAAAAAAGCTCGCCTGTCTTGTTCAATAAAACATTTTATATATATATATATATATATATATACATCGTTTATATAAAATAATCTAAGGACGAAACAAAATATGTCACCATTTTTTACGTTCTAACTTTATCGTTCTCCTATAAGAATCTTTGAGTTCCCCATATATATCTGTCAGTAGAACTTTAAAATATGTTACATTAAACGAAACCAAGGAAAAACATAATTAAAGAAAATGCATTGCGCGGAGTCTTTTCCTGCTATTCAATAAAAATTCCAACGGAAAATCTACACAAAAAACATGCAATTTTGACAGCGTTTTGGGTTTCCTCTAAAACTATTTCAATAAAATTTTGACATGTCCTATTTTGGCAGAATATATATATATATATATATATATATATATATATATATATATATATATATATATATTGGTTAACGCTGAGTTTTAAATATCTTTGCATGGTGGGTGGGTTGGTGTGGGGTCTAAGTAAATAAACTGCCCGTACTTATTATTGTCCCAAGCGCTTTCGGTCAGTTCATTAGCCATTTTTAAGGGGTTCGTTGTCAGTATATTTTCTATGTTTGTGTTCTATGTTGTATTTTGCAGAAACAGTAAAAATGCTAAGCTGTGCGCGAAAAAAATCTACTCTTGATTCCATGTTGAAATGTCTTTTAAATGACCGCCATCACGTTACTAGCATTGTCAAAAAAAGGTAAGGTTGCGGTTTGGCTTGAATGGTTTTATATAAAGAGCTGCAACCGTCTTTAAGACGTCGTCGACAATACGATTTCTTTAGAATGATGGTGTTATCAACAATACTTTTCCTAACGGGAGCAGACAGATGTGTGTGGGTGTCTAGACGTTTTTTGTTTATGGTCACTTAATCAGTTTGCCATCCTTCTACTGATTGTCGTCGACATATATCCAATGTAGATAATGGGTTCATGACAAGAAACGCGACCTTATACAGGGAAGCAAAATTGATATGCTACATTATTCGTTTTGAGTTTAATTTTGACAGGTGTGTTGTTATTAGTACTTATGAGCTTGTCAGGATTTAGTTCTGTATAATATATTGAAAATTTTACACGTTTTTCTTGGCTGCACCCTCCCAAAGGAAAACTGTATTAATATTAAAATATATAAATGCCCACTACACACACACACACACACACACACACACACACGCACACACGCACACACACACGCGCGCGCACACACGCTCGTGAGCGCACACACACACTCTTTTTTCTTTTCGTTCTCTTTATCTCTCTCTCTTTTTATCACCCAAAACCAGCAGGGCCACCTAGAAACTTGATACACAAACACACAGGGCTGCCAACATCCCAGTACCTTCTTCAGGAATTATACACACGGCACACACATATCCCCGCGCGCGCGCGCGCACACACACACACACACACACACACACAAATACTCACAAATGACCAACAACTGTTTGTACTTGATTCCTTGCAAGTTGTGGCAAGGAATATAAAGGTGAAACAAGCCACCTCCTAAAAGTATGACATCGAAAATTGAAGAACATTGAAAAGCCATAGGGAAGATGAAATCAGGAATTGCTGATCATATATGGAGGGAAATGTTTAGTCGTCAGTCTCTGTGGAAAAGTGAAAATACTCGACAAGGAAGAACACTGGAGAGTTAGAGGTCTGAAAGTACCGGCGCATGTGCTAGGTTATGACGATCTCCTTAGTTGGCTTAGGATATAAATAAATACAATATGGGAGCCGGTAATAAAGAAAGACAAATAACGGGAAGACTTAAACAGTACTGCAGTCAATTATGACAGACAACATTGGCAGCACTAATCATCAGGCAGGTTAGGTTTAAGGCTCCAAGTTCACTTCAGGGAATTGTCGTAAGGGACAATATCCCCGTGTCTAGTGGGTTTTGACATAGAAATTTCGAGTTGAATCCCTAGCCTGGACAGTGTGTACTTGAAACGGGTGAGCAATAAATGAGCTCTACTAAAAATAAGAAATAGATGAAATATTGTACTAATATAGGTGCCCCCAGGGCTCTATTCTTGAACCTACTTTGTAATTAATTTTCATCAATGACTTTCCTGATGACATCATTTCTCAACTTGGTATCTATACTAAACAAAATCTACTTCCATACCTGATGATGTCTGTAGGAACAGACGAAAGCTTTGTAAAAAATTAAAAAGACCTTTTGCAACTGAATTTATAAACAGGGATCATATCATTCATTGGTGTATCTTATTTATGTGTTTGCGACGATGTATTCTCGCCATTTAAATCATTAACCTCTATATTTGTTTTTTGTATGAATGATTCATGAATTTTATATATATATATATATATATATATATATATATATATATATATATATATATATATATAGCTGGCCACTCGTATTCGAGATACCCGTCTACTAGGTTTATACTGCATCTATACTGAGCATACCTTAGTTACAGTTTCTGAGAGAGAGAATGATCAACAATCTGAAGAACACCAGCATGCTCAAACCCTCAGTCATGATGACTTGTGATTTCGTGCTAGCATACCTATCGACAGCCTCACGTGTTCTGTCTGCCCAATTTTATTCACTAGGCTTGGGTCAACCCGTGGTATGGTTTTTCAGGCATATATATATATATATATATATATATATAAAAGAAAGATTGCTGCCTAAATACACAAATATATATATATATATATATATATATATATATATATATATATTTATGGAGGCAAGGTGGAGAAGGCTCGGATTGAGGAATCTTCTCCCTCCTGCTATGGGTAAATAGTCTTGAATGACAACCGGTCTAGGAGAAGGACAACTCAGAACCTACGAAGGGTCGTTTGGAGACCCGGTGTCTGTGTTCGGCCCTTCAAAAAGTGTAATTGGTTCTGCAGAAAGTCTTCACCACTATAATCAAATCATATGTGCTGATGTCTGGGCTGTCGGTTCCTAGGAACTGAGCTGCTTCACCCACATACGTCGAATTCCGACGGAGAGTCCACCATATATATATATATATATATATATATATATATATATATATATATATTTCTTTTTTTTACTACCTTAAAATATTTCACCGCCTTCTAATATAACTATAATTAATTTAGTCATATTCTAAAAACAGTTATAACTAAAAATAATGCATAAGATTGACTAAAATGAAGTTATTATAAAGACACTCGTTATTTCCATGTTAATTCCATATTTCATCACAAACAGCCGTGGTTTCTGAGAAAACATTTAAAAATAGACAGAGAAGAAGTGACCTATGTAAGTGAAGGTCAGGAGTTGAAATGTTGATTCTATTAAATTAGGCATTTTGTTACGCTGCTTATAAACTCTCAAAATACATCAATTCTATTTTCTTTTGCACGGACGAAAGCTTTAAAGAAAAACGATTTAATGAACGTTAGATTCATTTAGTGCTTTCGTATTTACTAAGATTTATTTTCTGTCGTACGGAGGTGAATAGAGAGAAAGGCTTCGGAAGATGTTACAGCTGCAATCTTCCAGTTCCTTGCTTTTCCATAGGCATCAACTGTAGGCGTATTGAGTCCTAATTTCAGCCGAGAGCGATGCATCACTTTCGCACATAGAAACTTGGAAAGATACGGATCAAGAAGTCATGACAAATCGACCACGGTGAGATTCGAACCCTAGTGGGAAAGCGAATGTTCTGCTTTTCTCTCTATTTAGCTCCAGACGACGGTAAGTAAATCTTAGTAAATACCAAAACACTAAATGAATATGACGTTCATTAAATCATTTTAAAACTTTTTACCTGTATGTACGAGCGAGCGAGCGTTCGTGTACTAATATTATATATATATATATATATATATATATATATATATATATATATATATATATATATATATAGTTTGGCCATATAGTGTATACTCTATAATATCATCATCACCATCATCATTTCCATAACCGGGTGTGGTCGTAGGGTCACTTCGTAGCTGAGCACCTGGCTAATTCTCTTTACATATATGGGTTGAAAGCCGGAGAGCTATTCCCACGGCTGTAGCAATATTTATTTAATGCTTTCGTATTTACTAAGATTTACTTACCGTCGTCCTGAGCTAAATAGAGAGAAAGGCTTAGGAAGATGTTACAGCGACATTCTTTCAGTTCCTTGCTTTTACATAGGCATCAACGGTAGGCCCGTTGAATTCTAATTTCAGCCGAGGCCAGTGCGTCGCTTTCGCACAAGTTAACTTGGAAAGATATGAATCCATCTCCCTGCAATCGTCAGGGGTTAATAGCAGGGCAGGTTGGGCTTCCTAGTTTCGTTTGGCAATCAGTTGGCAACCAGTCTAGGAGAAGGACAACTTGGGGAAGTTAGCAACTCCACACTGTAAAAATTTACTTTGTCCGGAAGCCGCTACAGCAATATCTCACGTGGGTTTTCAACCTGGCAGCTGCCCTTGAAAAAGGCCTCCAATCAATCTTTAACTAGGACAGGAAATGGATTGTAAATTTTAACGCTTCCAAAACAATACTGCATTCATTCAACCATTCATTTCTTTCTGCCATCGGAATAGCTGACATTAGACTCCAGGAGAGCAAAACTCTGCGCCTGGTGATTTTCCAAGCGTAGCTCAGATGTGGCACAAGGCCGAATGTATGGGTACCCAATGAGGATCGAACTCACTACTCAGTCGTAATAGTTCTAGCGAAACAAGCTTGCTAACCATTACACCACCTCGAGGTGCCCAAAAAAACTCTGCGCCTGCTTAGCCTCGTGTTTTCCACTAATTTGAAGTGAAGCGACTACAAAGAATCAATAGCTACATCTACTGCAAGGAAAGTTGAGTCTCTGTATCGTGCCAGAAATTTTTATTGTCAGAATCCATTTTGCACATTTACAAATCTACCATTCGTCCTTGCATTGGATGTTGTTGCCATATCTGGTTTGGTGCTCCTTTAATATATCTCAAAATACTTGACAAAATTCATAGAAGGGTCTATAATGTAATCGATCCTGACCAAACATCACGACTTCAGTCAATTTCTCCCCTACGTGGCTTCCCTCTGTCTTTTCTGCAAATATTTTTATGGCATTTGTTCTGATGACCTTTTTGTTTACCTGGTGTTCCGGCTACATGAATTTAATTATGCTACTTGATTGGCATTTAGTTTCCACCCTTTTACTGTTGAATTAGCTAAACGTGACCGTGGCAGTTGCGTTTAGCTATTTCAACAGTAAAAGCGCGGAACCGATTTATACTCCAAAAGTTTCTTTTCTCGCACTACCCACCTGTATAAATCCCTTCCGATATCTTGCTTCCCTGAGAACTACAATCTTCAAAAATTTGAATGTAACGTTAATCGCCATATTTTGTCTTCTTGAATTCCATTCATCTTTTGTCCTTTTCCCAGCCCCTTCTATTCTCACTCTTCTCTTTCACTTTAATTCCCTGTGACCCCCTACGCACTAGTGCCATTCCCGCCTTCCTTGGGTGAAATGATAAAAAAAATAAAAACAAGAAAAAAAAGAAAAGACTTTTGTCGTATACTCTAACAGAAGAGTCAACAGGATTAAAAAAAAACAAAACAAAAAAAAACTAGCACGCAATCAATGCAAACACAGACCGGTCGGATTTTTCATTCACTTTTATTAGTGAACAGCCGTGGGATTATATTGGAATGGCTTACAAATTAGAACCCGATTACTTTATAATTTGAAAATTTATACTTAAAAATGAAATATATTAACTTATTCATATTAGAAAAATTAGTGTTCTGAAGGTCTTTCGTGGATATGTTCATTTTCATTATGTATTAATGCTTTCATTACAGAACAAATATTTATCAAAGTATTCTATATTACCACAATTGTGCAGTTCTCCAACACCGAAATTTGCAACAAATCCCCCAAAATTAATCTGAAAACTCGATTCATCTTCCTGAAAACTCGAATCAAGTCAGACATGAAGCTAAACCCGTCACAGAAATATCTAAACTGTCAGCTGGATACAATCGCTTTTTGAGATCAATGGTTCACTATGGCTTCGAGCGAATGAAAATCTTAACGAGAAGCATGCTTCTTCGAACCAAAGGTACACACAAAGAACTGGACCAAATGGCCTCCCCCACAAAAAAAGGCTGAAGCAAAAACATATCTGGAGTGAGAAGAATTGGATTCATGCCTTTCCCAAGGGGATTTGTGCCAAGTGAATATAATAAACTCGGCTCTCCAATTTCCAATTCCGACCCGTTATCCATCACGCCACCAATACATTCAAGCTTACAACACCTGGTATTCTCAAGCATTCACCTATCTAAGTACTGACCAGCCTCGGCGTTGCTTAACTTCGGTTATCGTACGAGAATTGGTGTTTGAACGGGATATGGTTGTAATCTACGAGCAACCAAATTTGATGGATATATAGATGGAATTTTATATCCTGCTTTTTGAGATCTGCAACCGGTATAGTTTTGTTGTTGTTGTTGCTGCTGCCTTACCCCGCTTACATCAAGTATCCTTGATAATTCTTTTGTATCATGTCAGCCATAAAAAAAGCAGAACGAGATCAGAGTACGAAAATTCCCTGAGAGCTTAATACTAGACTTTTCGTTTCCTTTTCAACTTGCCTTTCGTTTTCAGAAACGACTCTCGCTTGCCTCCCTCAGCTCGCTCTGTTCACATCAACAGAACGCCTTTTTGGACGCTTACCAAACCCACCCACGTCGTAGTTCATTCTAACTCTTCCCAAATGAGCCCTTCCCAAATGGACCCTTCTCAAATGCCACACTCAAATAATCATTTATTTTGTCGCTCTTTATGATTCTTCGTTGTCGGAAATATTTCATCTTCCTAAATGTACGAATCGACTGAGACTATTTTAGCTAAGAAACCTTGTCTGATACAAGGCTACGTGGTGAAGCACCCAATAAGGGGTGAATTCAAGCGACTGGATAGATAGCAAAGTAACCTGCAAGTGAGAACTGTGTATATTTATTCATATGTTCTGCTATAAACCCATAGAAAATACAGGCAAAATGTTTAAAAATGATTTCATATTCATTTAGTGGTTTGGTGTTTACTAAGATTTACTTACCATCGTCCAGAGGTAAATAGAGAGAAAGGCTTAGGAAGATGTTACAGCGGCATTCTTCCAGTTCCTTGCTTTTGTGTAGTCATCAACAGTAGGCGTTTTGAGTTCTAATTTCAGTCGAGGCCGGAGTGTTGCATTCGCACAGATAAACTTGGAAAGATATGAATCCATCTCCCTGCGAGCTTCAGGGGTTAACAGAAGGGCAGACTAGGCTCCCTAGTTTCGTTTGGCAACCAGTCTAGGAGAAGGACAACTCGTGAGGGTTAGCAACTCCACATTTTATCCGGGAACCACAACATCTCGCGATACATTGGCAAGTAGACCTGGCGGGCTCCATCCTTCCACAGTTCTGACTGCAGCTGACGTTCCAAATTGAATCCTCGTCGCACTCACTATATGCATCATATGGAGCCTAGTCTATTCGATTGTGTTAGATGGCCACTGAGCCTACGGGAAGGTTCATCTGCGTGTCTAGTCTCCCTCCTCACTAGAAATATCTGGCATAGGAACCGGTTTAGTCATTGATTACTCGAACATTTGGCAGGTAATACTGGGTTATATGGTGCCAGTAGCACTGGTAGAGTGACCGAACATAAATTACCTATTACCTTAATAAGTATTTTAACCATTGTACTTTTTCAATGTGGGCATTGCAGCAATTTCCGCTTAAAGATTCATTTGTATTATTATTACTATTATTATATTTTGTCATATTATATATTATATTATATATTATATACTATATATACTACTAGCAGCATAGCCCAGCATTGCCCGTTCTTGATTCAAAAATCGTACGACTCATACAGCAATCGCTGCCACTTTGCCCTTCCTTGCCTTTAAAGGAGTGCCCTTTTCCGTGCTGATGTTGCTATATGCCTTACTTCTTGTCTATCTCACACTGCGAATTTTTCTAAGCTCTATACTAAACATTAAATCTGTTACGAAAAAAGAACTAAACAAAATGAACACAAAACTATCAGCTTTAAAAAAGGACTGGTAACTGGAAAAACCGAATAAAAAAAGAATGTTAACAACAAATACTTTTTCACACCCAACCCAGTTCTGCGGAATCAGAATCAACGTTGAGTTTAAGCAAGCGAATGAGTCAAAGGAGTAAAGTGCCATGCAGATTTAAATTTTCCCCACTTTTACATATTATATATATTACATATTATTATATTATATATTGTATATTGTATATTATATATTATATTATATATTGTATATTATATATTGCATATTATATATCATATTATATATTATATTATATAATATTATATTGTATATGTATTATTATATATGCATCTTTTTTTAACGATATAACATACGTTTCTATTGGATTAATACCTAGAGAGGCTGGTGAGTAATATTCTGATTTGTTGAAGCAAGAAGGTGTGCTCAGACCAACTGCCATGAAAATATTTAGCGAACCCCCCCCCAAAAAAAACCAAAACAAAACAAAACAAACAAAACAAAACAAATGGTAGCCATGACACGGCAGTGAGAAAGTGACTAATGTCGAGATACTGTCAGGACCAATAACATTACAGACCTCCTTTGGATTTTGTCGATAATCCCGAGATAACTTGATGTCATCATCAAATTTGAAAGAACCTATAATTTTACTGCCTAACAGACGAGCTCAAAAGATTACTCCACCTCCCCACTGTTATCATTCTAAATCATTTTGCTTGACTATTTACATGAAAAGCCTGGCCTCCAGCCCAGCTATCTTGTTTATTCAACGCAGCTCGATATGAAACACTTAGTATTGCAATTAGTTTTCATACGGCAGCGGCTCTTGATTGGAATGTCTGAGATGGTTCTCTCTGATTTAGGAGCTGATCATTAATCATGAAATTAATTCTTACTTGATTATGCAATTACAATTTCGAAGCACACTAATTATTTTAGTGCTGGTGTAATTGGGGAAAAGTGCTAAAGCAGCGCGTTAATTTGGATATTTTTATTAATTTTTAAAAAATTTCGGATATACGCCCGAAGCAGATTACCAGTAAACATGCATATTACAGTCACTCGTAAGTATTTGGGCGCTCAGATCCGTGGTTGGAAATATAGACTATCAACAGAAATATTTGAAAAAGAAGAGCTGCAAAGGGTAGTATGTTGTGTAGAGGCATGATCGCACACGCCCTAAAGGGATATGAGCACAAAGAAGAAGAAGGAGAAGAAGGAAGAAGACGCAAGAAGAAGGAAGAAGGAAGAAGAAGAAGAAGAAGAAGAAGAAGAAGAAGAAGAAGACGGAGACATGGATAAATACAAAGAAGAAGAAGAAGAAGAAGAAGACGCAAGAAGAAGGAAGACGGAAGAAGAAGAAGAAGAAGAAGAAGAAGAAGAAGAAGAAGAAGAAGAAGAAGAAGAAGAAGAAGAAGAAGAAAGAAAGAAAGAAAGAAAGAGTCCTAGTTAACTTGCAGCCAGTGTTGTGCTTATATGTCAAGGAGAAATGCGACTTTTAATATGTATCAAACATTTTTCTAAGCGAAATATATACTCATGAACTTAAGATTTTTTATTCTTTGGAAAACCACATTGTTTTTTTTTTGATTTTGAAGGAAAATATTGATTAATTCGGACTTCAATTTCTATCTATCTATTTAAGTATTTTTATGTCTATCTATCTATCTATCTATCTATCTATCTATCTATTTAAGTATTTTAATATCTAAGTATTTTTATATCTCAGAATTTTTATATCTATATCTGTTTCTATCTATGTCTTTTTATAGCTAAGTGTTTTTACATCTCTCTGTTTATATATCTAAGTCATTCTATCTCTCGCTATATATATCTAAGTCTTTTTATCTCCCCCCGTCTCTCTCTCTATGTCTCTATCTAAGTCATTAACTCTATCTATCTATCTATCTATCTATCTATCTATCTATCTATCTATCTATCTATCTATCTAAGAGCTGCTGCACGTTTGTGCATGTACGAGAAGTCAAAGGTAACTGAAATCGCTACAGTAGCCATGGTCTACGAGACGAGGTTACTAATCAGTGTTCTACAAAATGACATGTTCATATGGATATTTACGTAATGAATTAACTTTATCTGGTGTAGCAGCCCAGATTAACACCCTCCAAGATTAAGAGGTCCCTTAATAATTTGAGGTTATCGTAGCATTTACAATATTTTTATGATAATTCTATCGAAGAGAAACGTGAATTTGAATTTGTATCGAATCTGTTTATCTAAAATTAAAATATAAACATTGTATCATTACCAAATAATAATATAATATTTATATTACTGGAAGATTTTTATCCTGACTCTTGGTCTTGTTCTTGTTCTTCGCTCTCGTCATAGCAATAGTTAGACATTATATTCCAGTCTAATAAATATTGATTGGAATGTGAGTTAGAATACTCATCAAACAAATCCGAGTAGTTAAGTTCAAACTCCTCCTAGGTCTTTTGAACAGGAGTAGAGGTTTATCTTTTGCTTCCAGATTATTTTAACTTATCAACGTCTCCGTCTGATCTCTGAAATTTGTTTTACTAATTATTTATTTCCTTTTTTCCCCTTCTTACCTTCAATAGGATTGGGTAGTTTCACACTGCATCCAGATTTTTTGAACAGGAGTTGAGGTTATTGCATTGTTCCATGTTTAGGATTGCGTTTCCGGTTCCTTCTAAAATCTTCTCTTTCTCTTTCATTCCCAATAGCTACTTGTGTCTTAGTGGCCTTATTGCCTTGCTTGGAGAGAATTGATTGATAAAAGAAAAGAAAAAAGTAATTGATAAGCTATACGCGCAAGAACATTGTATCTCATTTCTCTCGCTCATTAAACGACCATATAAAATTTAGATTTCACAAGTACAAAAATCTTGAAATATAATTGAAGAGACAAGACTGTATCTTAAAACTTGCTTCATAAGCACTTCTCTAGGCTGTACTCCGCTACTTACCGATTGAGCCTTAGCCGCCAGCGCTTCGTGCTTTACCGATTAAAGACCTAAACTTCGTATAAAAGCCAAAGGTTTATAATATTGTTTGTCTGACAAACTCCCAGGTTAAGTGTTATACGACATTTACGTCTGGATAATGCATTGTAGTCATTTGCCACAGATATTAGTTGGGCGTTAAATTATTGTAGCCATTCATCTGTCATATTACTGATAATAAAGAAAATACTGTCGTGGCGTATATTTGGGTAGATAAATTTGACGATAAGCTCTCGTGGTTAGCGGCCTGTGAAAACAGTCTAAGAATTTACATTAGTAGAACGCTCAAATATACGACTTTATCTGATAAAACGTCTTAAAGCAGCGAATAAGGACACAATTATGTCGATACTGCCTGTAAAAAAAGCTAAACGATTTCTGTAGTTTTGTATTGTTTCAGTGAGATATTTTTGTTTTGAAGAGAATGTCTGACCGTTTGGAGGTTGGGCCTTTAACTCTGTTTAACATCAGCATTTACGTGCGTGTATATATATATATATATATATATATATATATATATATATATATATATATATAATGTTCACTCTATACAGGACACAAGAGCCAGTCAAGGTAGAGGGTTACTGTGTGTAGTTGTATTAGCGAAGGAAAGGACAAGTATTAGGAGTACAGAGCTGAAGCAGACTTTAGAAGGGACTCGAAACTCAAT